TTAAGTATACTAAATTACTGCGTTTAATAAAACAGTTCAACCACTTTCATAATGTAGGATTTCTACAACTGTAGTCATGTTCATAATATATGTATGTATTGCGTTCAATAAATTTTTTTGATATGACCCCAGTATTTGACATAGTTACATTTTTCGATAAAAACAATAGCGGACCCTTAATTACAGTTTCAAAAAATTAAAATTTAACAAAAATACAGTACTATAGATGAAATCATTTTTACAAACAAACTGTCACTGCGAATTACAAACAAACTATCACTGAATTAAAATAGAGTCGTAGTTATTTTGGTATGCAGGACTATTAAAGCAATTAATTCTTTCTTAAGTACAGTGTCGGGACATCTCCAAATTTTAACTTTTTTTCCACGAAAAACATCCTCGAAATGCCGGCTGGCTCACGCGTGTTGTGGTACAAACGTTATTTGTAGCGATACCTATATTTGAACACCACAGCTCAAATTCATGAGGATTTTGTGGAAATCTATAAAGTTGAATATTATGTCCAATGCGACTTGGACAATTCTGCACGATTCAAGTTATATGATGCTTTAACGCTTTATCTTTTACCAATTTTCACAAATAACTCAAATTAATAATGCACGGTTTGCTTGATCAATACTCAAATACAATATTCTTTTATGAAAAAGGACATATTTTTGGCAACATTATAGCTACATTTAAAATGTTGTGCCAGAACTTATCAACACGCTTCACCAATAATTGTCATCTGACTCTCTCACTTCACTCAAGAGCGTAGGATGCAATCTACTTTCATACTCTGTGCTTCGTCGCAGCACTTATTTTAAGTTAACTGCACGAACAACATATATATCTGCATATTAAATGAAAGGTTATCTTATCCTCTTCAGCTGAGATATATTAGAATAGTAAAAAAAGCTATTTCTGGTTTCAAAGTTAATAATAAATTAATGACCACATCTTTTTGGGCTGAAATAATTAATTGAAATTTGGTCGTTATTATTGACTATTTTTGTTCTTAATATACAATTACTTAACAAAATATAATACTGCTTTTCTCACCGAAGCTTAACAATTAACCATTACATGTGTTTTATATTTTCAGCATTGCCAGGTGTCTTGTTTTCATCAAGAGTGACAATTTGATATTTTTTGGGTTGCCATACTTGTTGTACTGTTGCCACAGAAATATACTTATACTTGCTTAAAAAGAATTTGTTTATTAGTTATTGCACTTCTATAATTTCTTTAGTTCCAGCAAATTCATACCTCCAATTCCAATCCCTCAAAAATATAACTAAAAATTCGAAAATATGCTTTTGATAGATAAGTAAAATTATTAAATAACATTAATAAAGAATGGTGAGATTTATGGAAGAATATATGATATTAAAATCAAATAACTAGAAAGCAATCTCGGATATTAAGTCCAAAGTTTAACCTCCTGAACAAATATATTTCCTAAAAAAAATCCGAGAATTCAGCAATATGAGGTGTTTGTTTTAGCTTTCTCCACATAACCACTTCTCGCATGAAAGAAAAGAATTGTAGTTTCATGAAAGATCGATGCAATTTTGTCAAACTCATAAATACACACTAAACAATTAAAAAAAAATATTTTTTGTTGTCAAGTAAAAATGAAAAAAATAAATATATAAAGACTTCAATCTGAATCATAAAATTATAGTGTGCGCAGATATTATTACATAAAAGATATATATGTGTATGTATATGTAATAAAACTAATTCATTCATAACTTTCAATAATTTATAATAAATATAATGTAAAAGAATTATTAATTAAAAATTAGTAATTAAAATGTATCTAAGTATGCTCTAAGAACGATTATTTGTAATCCATAAAGATGATTTTTAAATTGTAACAGAATGTATATCTTTTAATAAAACTGTATTTTTCTTATAATAAAAATATTTTAAATTTACAAATATACATTTTTGATTTAGTATATATAGTGTGAAACATATTATGTAAATGGTCAGGAGGTAATAAAATATGTTATGTATCAGTCGTGTAAGGATATTAGCTGCAGTGCGGCCTTCAAACCAAGATTTTCTAATTCTTTTAAGCTTCATGTAATGTAGGTAAAGTATGGGTTCGAGATAGTGCATTAGTAGTGCTGACGAAACCATTTGATCTTCGTAAAGTTAAAGCTCTCTACGTGCTGTACATATCACTGTTGAAAGGAAGATATTTGCAATTATTGCAAAATAAAGAAAAATCACTGACGTCATCCAAATTATTTTAGCAAATTGTCCACTGATGAAATCCTCATGTTCCGCTTATAGTTATTATATATATAAGTGTATAATTTATCAAAGCGATATCACTCATGTGCAGCTATTTATTTTTGAATTGATTAGATTTTTAGGACTAGTCTTTGCTGTGCATTACAAATCATCTAAAATCATTTATTTGGATTTTCGTAATAAGGAAACATATGAAGAAATATCTTGTTTGAAGTTATCAGTTAAGGCAGAAACAAAAGAACTCGGCCGGTCCGGCCCCATTGCAATCATCTGAGATGACAGCTAGTACTGAACTAGATCCAGATTCTGAACATTTTGATGGTTATCGCTCTAGTGGTTCGGAACTAGTAGCAGGTATTTGTGTCTTACGAAGTAAGAATTCTTTCT